CAGACCCTACTCTGGAGTTAATTACAGAAACCCAACAATTCCCACCATGAGCAAGCATTAGGCGACACAGGCAAGGAAAAGCTTCCTTTTAACAGGCAGAAACCTCGAGCAGAACCATGGCTCAGGGTGGGGGGGGGGCATCTGCATGGGCCGGTTGGGGGTGAGGGAAAGAGAGGGCAAGAGAGAGAGGGCGAGAGAAGGACAGAGGGAGCAGAGAGAGGCAGCCAACACAGCAACACATAGACTGGATGAAAAATGGCAATGATATTAATACTAATGATAATGGTAGAAGTTATGACAGCAATAACACTATGCAGAGTAGTAGCAGAGCAGGAACACGGGGGCAGCAGGAAACTCCCAACCACAGATCCAGACTCCACAGCTCCAGAGCCAGGAACACCTGCAGGAAGTGATAGGAGGAGAGAGGAGAGAGAAGGGGGACGAGGAAGAGAAGGGGGACGAAAACAAAAGATGTGATTTATTTTCGAATACCAAACCAAAGTCATTTGATTAACCTAGGAATTCTCAAACAGTTGGTAATTAAAGGAATATTTATAACAATTACCAATGACTAAAATAATAAAATACATACTTAAAGTTCACATAATGCAGTGTCAAAGTTTCAAACTACTAATCATTAAAGTGCACGTAAAATACACACAAATTCAACCAAAATTACAAAGAAAGATAAGTTTGACCACATTCCAACTTGATCTACCCTACTAGATGTGTCTTTTGGGTGATCAAAGCTGATCAAAAGTATTGTCTTCCCAGGAGAGCCGAGAGAGTTAACTGAGTTCCTTCCAAACATTTCATACCATGCTCTTCCTAATGGTGCACCAGTGAACAAGGTCCCAATGTCACAACTTCCTGAAAATTGGAGATCCACCAGCTCTTTTGTGAGGTTGCCTTCTGCGGGTCAGGAGTGCAGCCTGGGAATTTGCTTTTGAATGTGTTCAGGAGTGTATCTTTTGTAAATGTGAAATTTGCTTTTGACCTCCTACTTGAGCCCTTGGTTCTTCAACCCTAAGAAGTCACATCTGAGTCACATCATATCCCTAAACATTTTGCAAACCTTAACTGACCTCTCAGGGTGTTTTGGTCAGCCATCCAGACAACATCTCCACATTCCTGTGTGCCACTTGGTCCTGACGAACAGGTGTTTTCCTGCTAACTGGCTCCATTTTCTCCAGCTGTCAACTTCCATTTGGTTGGCTCTAAAACATTTTGTAAGAGTAACCCTCAAAGTCGAAGGTCCTTGGTTCTCCTCCTGGTCCAGTTCTTTCAAGCAGAAATGAACATAGGCTGATGGTTTTATGTCGTCCTGGCTCCAAGTCCTGGCATCAGTTGGTCCTCATTGGCGAGTTTGGAAGTCATGTAAAGGAAAGTGTGAAACTCACCCCACTTCAAGCCGACTTCACAGTGCTGACAGCATCTTTGGCAACTCCCTTTCTGTGAAGTGAGTCTCCTAGATAGATCCTCTTGGTCCATTATGTGCCATACTTGGAGGCTTCATTTTCAGGTTCTGACTTTTTCACTTGGTCCAGGAACATGTAGAGCTTTTTGAGGGCAGGTCTTGCTCCGACAAAGCTGTCCAAATTTTCCTTCAATGTTCTCTCAATGCATCTCTCTCAATGCTATAGGCTACAGGAAGCCATCAGCTTACTAGCCTGACAAGGTCCGTGTAAGAAGCTCTGGACACCATGCAGCAGAAGACCCCCCACACTTCCAGTTTCACCTTTTTGATCACTTCATCCTTCATAAGGTCCAAATAAATCCACTGTTGTGTACTCAAATGAATTGGCTGGTGTTATTAATTTCACAGGGAGATCACTCATCATCTGTTGACAATTTCGGGCTTGGCTTTCCTATTTGTCACACAGTTGTCTAATGAGTTACTTTCCAGCCTCTTACCACCCAGACTTTCCTTCTCATCTGGAGTAGTGTAACTGCGATCTCTTCATTATTGTTCTTATGGGCTTCCAGAGCTAGGACAGTGGATACCCATTATGTACAGGGCAAGATTGGTACTGCAGTTCAACCTTAGTAGCACTGCTCCGATTGGATTGAATTCCTCAGGCCCTTTCAGGAGAAGGTTATTCATGCTGAATCCTGTAAACATCTAAATGCGTGATTGAGTGTGGATTTGGCACCACTAAGTGGTCGACATACTATACTGGATTTTTCCAGTTAGCAATGGTCTGTTTGGTGAGTTTATTTGAAGCTTTTCTTTCCACCACATGGAGATTCCACTTTGGTTCCTTCTTGAGCTGACTCCCTGTTCTTAGAATTGTGGCTTCCACACCATTTCCCTTGTTAGGCAGGAAACTTGGATCTTCAATCCAGGGATATTTTTTTGTCCGATGGAAGCTCCTGACTATGCACATGTAATTTCTCATATTTGAGGCCTTGCCTGATAATCTCCAGCTCTCCTTCAATCATGCCTTTGCCTCCTGGTTGACAGTTACCACACTATCATCTTCCACGCATGGGTTCACAGACTGCACCAATGAAGTAACATTTCCACGAGTCCAAGATCTCTCTGTCAGTAATAGATCTTTACTTAAAGGGCCTTCCCAAAGGACAATATCTACTACTTTTACTCTTTGTGGAGCAAATATTTTTTGGTATATCTGCACTCATAGAAGAAAACTTTAGATTTTTAATATCCTCAGATCACATGTTAAAACTACAGTCCTCAAAGGTTTTAGACCTTTTCATGCAGGTTTTAGACATTTCCCTTTGTCAGCATGTGATTAATTTGAGTCATCAGCATTAGGATAACTTTGCAGAGCTTAATTATGTTTTGAATTGACCTATTCAATATAAATCAGATGTCTTGAGGTAGAGAACCATCTAAAACCCGCAAGATAACAGCTCTCAAGGACCAGAGTTTAACGCCCCTTCCTTATATCTAGTGTGTACCATCAGAATCTTACTGCTGTTTGTTAAGTGATATGACTATCTGGAACATTGTTATGTGTTAACCTGATTCTTTATTTGAAAGCCTTAATACAAACCATAATACCATAAAGTCATACATTTGGGGAATCTGTATACTTAGTTATTGTGGTAAGTTTATAATGGTTTAATTAATGTTGTGGTTAAGGGCTTTACATTGGTATCATCTTTTAGTGATGCATCATGGGAGTGTCTTTGTTTTGCAGCTCACAGAGTGGAGCGAATGTTTTACTACTGTTACCCTTACTCTTTGTATGTACATTTTGTACTGACAAAAAGCGTGGACTGGGTAAAAATCTGGACACAGGGCCACAGAAACAAACAACCACACAAGCTCACATTCATTCCTAGTGTTGATTCGGAGTGTCCAATTAACCTATGCATGTTTTTTAATGATGGGCAGAGGGAGTACCCAGAGAAAACCCTTCACTACATCCGAAGTTAAATTTGATCAAATATTTGACTCCACTTGGAACAAGTAAATTTCGAACATGACGTTGAAGTCATAGAAAAAAAATACATATATACAAATTTTATTAAAATAAAAAAAGCTAAGTTAGTTTAAAGTTCACGTTGTGAAAGTTAGAGTAAGTTACGGTAGGTTCAGTATCCTCCACAATGATCGCCTCCTCCGTCTCCTGTATCGCTGGTAAAGTGCCAATAAAAACCCCTTTTTATTGATTATTGATTCATAATCTATTTTTATGTAATGCATTTGTTTTATTGCTATCTGTAATAATCTGCAGTACTAGGTTTTGGGGCTGCGGAACGAATTGTACGAATTACAGTGTATTCTATGGGAATATTTAAACCAACATATGAATATTTTAACATACGAAGTAGGTCCTGGAACGAATTCAATTTGTATGTAAAGTTTCTACTGTATACCTATTTTTTCCTTTCTTAAGGGTCTTCAACTTAGTCCTCCAAAGGAACAATCAGCTTATAAACTTGATTTTACTCCTTGACCACAAAACTATATAAGACCTTAGATTGGTAGAAGCTTTTTCCTTGGAAGCAACAAACATTTATCCTAAATCTACCTGCATATCCTAATCAAACGCACCTTCTAAGCTGCCCTGCCACCATATAGACTTTTTAACTTTTCCTCTCAAACTGAATTACCACTCTCTTCGCATTAGACCCTCCTAAATTAACCTGCCTTCGCTTATCTTCAATACCTACAACTAACCTTCTTAATACTTGGTTATATCGCTACATAAACTGGCCTTGTGACAGGCTAACCTTACAGCCTGACAAAATATGCCTTAGAGTTGCAGTAAAAAACTATCCATCAGTCAAAGAGTTTCACTTCTGTCTCATATGGGTATGCTTTTGCCACTGTCCATGACATGGGATAACATGTGAAGCCTGGGAGTGCCTTCAGATATCTATGGGGGGAGGTGAAGAGTGTTGCTGGCAGGGAGATGTGTGGCTTTTTATGAATTTGCCTCTGTGACATGGCCTTCAGTAGGCTATAAAAATGGTTGGATTGTCAAAGCTTCTTTCTTACTATATAATCTTGCTTTGATAAAAAAAAATGTAAAAGCTTTGGTGAAATAAAAAGTTTATACAGAAAAAATGATGGGGTTCACCCTGGACAGGACAGTCCATCAGAGACACGCAATTTCACATATTCTCACATGTACTCCTATGTGCATTTTAGTCTCATATTAGCCTAAGATGCAAGTTTTTGTTCTGTGGGGGGAAGCCGGAGTATCTGGAGAGAAAACACAGATACACAGGAAGAACACTGAAACTTGTATCAATACACATATGTAAACACTCTCAAAACACATTTACAGACTATTCAGACCTTAACCGTTTAACCATAAAAAGATATAACCTGACCTTCACTTTCTTTTCTATCTCATTCCAGGTTCACGCAATATTGTCTTTAGTGGATGGATTATAAGGACCAGCTGTCATCATGCTATGTCTGTAAGGATTCAGTGGTGGTGTTGTGGCCCTTGGCGGGATGCTGCTGACTGCCAGCTGGTATGACTTTGCTGGACTTGTGGTTGTCACGCTCCATCCCCATGTGCCTACTCCTTCAAAGCCTTGTTCTCATGGCCCTTTGCTTCCCCTCAGCAAGCATGTGTCCAAAGGGCTGCAACTGCCAACGTGACCCTCATTTACATGGGCTCAATGTTACGTGCAGTAAGTCCCACCTCAAAGATATTCCTCCAAACATCCCAGTTGACACAGTCCTATTGAGGCTGGACCACAATCAGATAGGCACTGTACCCGATCAAGCATTCAATGGACTTAAGCTTTTGAGGGAGCTGAATCTCTCTTACAATGCAGTGGAAACTTTAGGAGAAGGTGCCTTCAGTGGCATAGAGGCAACTTTACAGGTTTTGGACCTTTCCCACAACCGCATCACTAGCGTTCACAAGGATGCTTTTTCTCAGATGAAGGCCCGAGTTATTGTGGATGATAACCCCTGGCATTGTGACTGCACCCTTCAGCAGGCCATTGGTGGAATGGCCCACAATCATGAAGCTGCAGCCAGGGTCCTCTGCAGAAGCTCGGAGCTTCTCGATCAAGAAGGGCGGCCTTTCTTGGCAGTAGACACAGACCTTTGTAACCTGGCAAAAAGGACCACAGACTATGCTATGCTGGTAACCATGTTTGGTTGGTTTGCAATGGTAATTTCATACGTTGTATATTATGTTCGTCAGAACCAGGAGGATGCCAGACGCCACCTAGAGTACCTCAAGTCTCTTCCCAGCAAGCCCAAGAAACCTGATGAAACTGACGACATAAGCACTGTTGTCTGACAGCAACATCATCAAGAATGTTTAGAATGAACACCACATTGTTTTTGTTGCAGAACTCACATTTATAGCGCTTAATATTACAAAAAATTATCCCAACTAAGCATCAGATTTGTATTTCGGGAATTTTCGTGTTTGTTACCTTAAGTAGTTTAAGTCTGATTTTAAATGAAATGAAAAATAAAGCTACCCTCACATGATTTTTCAACAAATAAAAAATGTGTATTTGTCAATTTAAATCTCAGGTTAAAATTTTTTAGCCAACAAATCTGGAATATTAAATGAAAAAACACATTTATTTTTTAACCCTCTACTCCTTTTAACTAAGCTACCATCGAGGTCTCCAACTGAAAAAACGTAACATTGCCTTTGATATTGTGAATGCAAGAAGGTGGGGTACAAAGTGAAATTATCTTAATCCTTGCTGTTTTTACTTTTAGTCAAATTAACAGTTTCTTTTCCCTAGCGACACATACAGAAGTACCCAAATAGAAGAAGAACAAGCAAAGTTTTTGTCTCATTCTATACATTAAACATAAAAAATTAGAAATAAGTATTCTGCTCTTTGTTTTGTGACAAATAATTTTGTCCAAAAGTACACACACACACACACACACACACACACACACACACGTATATATAGGCCTCATTAAAAATGTTCTCTGACTGGACTACTTTGAATACTCCTGTTCTACTGTCAGGTCAAACAGAAAAGTGTTCTGCTCCTGGTTAATTACAAGTTCTAACAGATTTATAAATGTAGTGCTACAAAATATGAAGAAACAACACTTGATTTTTGTTCTAACAATTGTTGATATTTTAAAGAAAAATATAATATAATTCACTGTGCCTGATAATTAATTAAATATATTTTTGTTCAACTATCTTTATACAAAAATGACATCTTTAAAGATGCATGGACAGTTTCTGGGATGACAAAATTAACCATTTTTAAAAGAAAAAAACACATAATAACCTAATTATACTCCTACTCCAACATCACATTTATTTATTCTTTGAAACAAGACATGTAATTGAACAATAAAATGCCATTGTTTTGCACTGTGTTATTATATATTGTACAGTCAGTTCTGAACAATGTATGGAATCTGTTATATACCTTGGAAGACCATACTGTCATCAATCTATTTTCAATACCTGCTTGTGCCAAGCAGGAGGAATTTGGAGTCATTCCAGCTGTCATTGGGTATAAGGAAAGAACTACACCCTGGAAAGGTCAACAGTCCGTCACAGAACCACAGGAATATGTACAATGGAAGGATAACATTGTTTTTTTTTTTTAAATAAATGCCTGATCATACAAAAAGAGTCCACACAAGTTGGCTTTTTGTTTAATATTTGGTCAATTTTGTCACTTTTGAAGAATCCCACCCTTAAAAAACAAATCTGAGTAATCAAAAATCATTAATTTTTTAATAGACATTTGTTTTTTGTTCTATACTTTATGTAGCCTACCTGTCCAGGGTGTTGATGTTTCACTACAGTATTACTAAAGTCTATGATAATGTCCTCTGAAACAAAGCATAAAAGTGGTCCTATTAGATAAAAAAGAAAGCAATTGTGGACTTTCAATCAATGCAACTAACTTCACAAATAGTGTACAATTTCAATTATGGGATTTAATCATACAACCACCAAGTAATTAAAACCGGTCAAGTACAACACACGCTTCCTCACAATTTTTCTTTAGTTTCCGAGAAAATCCTTCATGAAAAAAAGACTTTAGCTGTAAATCCATCGTGACATTTATTTATTTGCCTCTCTCAGTTAATCATTTTTAAAATGTGGGAAATGCTTCTCATCGAGGCCAACTCCAGAAAGTAAGATGATATGCCAAAAATTATTTGGGCAACTTTTTCTGTGGTTAACGTTCACGAGATGCTGGTGAATGAAAATTATATTAACAAACTAATGATTTGAATAATTTAAACAACCACTGTACAAATGAAAAAAGAATGCACATTAGTTTAATTATCTGATTCTGACAATCTTTGCGCCAGTAAAGAAGGTGTTGCTCCGACCAAGGGTAACTGAATAACTGATTGAATAAGTTTTTTTTAATGAAGTCCCCATTTGCTAAACTGGTTACACAGCATGACAGCCCTTTGTCGAATGTCATTGGTTATTCTTACAACCCTCATTTCCTGTCAACTTTTCAATAAATGACATGACAGCCCAAATCAAATACATCTGTTTTCTATAGTGCTTATTCTCATGGGTCGCCAGGGATGGAGCCTATTCCAATGCGGTAAAACCTGGACACCTTGCCACTCCATTGCACGGCCACACAGAGACAAACAACCACTCACATTCACTCCGAAGGGCCATTTGGATTGTCCACTTAACCTAACTAAGCAAGCTTTTGGATGTTGGGAGGAACCCTGATTACCCAGAGAGAAACCAGGCAGGCACTACATAACATTTTGTTCAAACTAATCCCTAAACTGTTCAAACTGGAAGAAAGACTCAAACACATACAACAATAGACTAATTGAAAAATGATTTTGTGGTGGGTAGGAGCCTACCTCTGAATATGAACCCAAAGTCATTCTGCTCAAAACTGATTTTGTGTCAGATTCTGGATGTGTCTCTCAGTTATTGTTATAGCTGTTAGAATTTGTGCAATGAAGAACTATATGTTAAAAAAAAATGCAAAAGTGAAATGTAAATAAGAAGACTGATGTTTTTTTAAATACCTTTAATCCCTTTAAATAACTATTATATGTGACTTACAATTAGCATTGTTTTAAACAAGGCTCTTATATGAATGGGACTAAACATAAATTGTAAAATGCATGTACATTGTAGTAAAGCACAGTAGCCAAGGACTCTAGAGGGTTTTTAAGTGCCTGACCGTGTCTCCTATCATGTTTTGTTCTGTTTACATCACTGGTCTTAACACTCTTTGTATAAGTGTTAAGACCAGTTCAACTCACTGTTAATCAACTTTGAGTCTATAATATTGAAAAAGGAAAAAGAAAATGTGAGTCACATTTAGGTAGAGCTAATAAAACAAAAATATTTGTTGTCAGTTTCTCACTGACAATAATGGATGTATTGTAATGGCATTACATACAGAAAATGTATTAAAGGACTCAACTCTTTGAGTCAACTCTATGTTGTCTTCATTATGTCTATTTTTAAAGAAATGTTCATAAATTAAGAAATTAAAGAAATGTACAAACACTTAACCGGATAACTGCCCGAATCTATTGGCTAGGCATTTGGGCTGGTCTGCGATCTGCCCTAAATGCCAATGGTTAATTGGTTGACCTGATGGAGGTCCCATTTGAACGGGTCAGGATGAACCTAATCGGGCTATTCCACCGGAGTGCACGCGGATATCGGTTTGTGTTAGTTCTTGTGGACTATACAACCCAATATCCAGAGGTAGTGCCGCTGTGCACCATCTCTGCAAAAAATGTAGGCCGGATGGCTCCCCGGCCTAAGTTGGGCGGTGAAGTTAGGGAGGCGTGGTGCTCAGCTGCAGAAGGGTAGGCTCAGGGCAGTTTAGTCCTGTTTTTGTCAATCATATCTTCTCACGGTGTAATGTAGCCTCTGCTACTTCCTCAGAATCCAGCTCTCCTCCTCCAACGGTAGATGTATGCTCCTGAGCTTTGATGGGCTGTTAAGCTGTAACCTGTTGAGAGACATGCATCACATGTATTTTGTTGTTATACACACTTTCTTTGATTCTCACATTGTTATGATAAAAGAGTAGTCAGTGAACACAGCTTTCGATTGCTGTTAGCTGAAACTCATCATGCCAGTTAGGGTAGATCTAAGATTAAACTGAACTATTGGGAGGGCTTGAGTCCAGGTTAATTTAGTGTCTGCGCAGACTTTAGCCAATCCCTCTCTAATATTGTTGCTAGCCCATTCCACTAACCCTAGATGGTGAACTGCACCAAACTTGCGTTTGATCCCAAACATGTTTCAACCAGAATTGTTGGGCTTCTGTAAATAACTTCAGAGTAGGTTCTGACCTACTGTGTTTGGAAAGCGCTGTGAGATAACTGTTGTTATTATTCAGCGCTATACAAATAAAATTGAATTGAACTTCTCCTAATTTATCATTGAATAAATGAGTACCATTGTCAGATCTAATTATTACTTCTGGCACTCCAAATCTGGAGATGATGTGAGCCATTTAATGACATCTTTCCCCACTTCAGTCTTTGTGGGTGTGGCTTCAACCTTGAGAATGGATCGACACAGATTAAGTAGTATCTTTTGTATGGATTTGCCTTTGGCTGCAACATGTCTTCCTATTTCTACGTTGTCCAATTTTGAGCTGTAGAACATTAACACTTTTCTGTATCGTGGGTTTAATTAAAGGCTGAAGAAACAAGTCTGCAGAACACAGACTTACAGGAATAGGAGGAGTAGTGAGAGTCTGGTCGCTATCTTCTTATCAGTTACTACAGGTGGCTGTGTCTCCGGAGGAGCCAAGGTCGTAACTGGTGGTTGTTGTGTGTTTTGCACAGAAGACAATGAGAATTTAATTTCTCCAAGAAAACATTGAAAGTCTGCAAAAAACTTCTCTGCCTGTCTCATCGCTGTACTTATTCTCCCTTTCTGCAGCTGGCCAACTTTCTATTGTTTCTGTTAACACTGCACCCAAGGAAGCAGATTTGCAAACCTTCCATTCTTCAACAGTTTTCTGTGACATCATGAACAGTATTACACGTGTTATTCAGAGAACCCAGTCTGGTCACTCGTTATATTCCACCCACTTCTGTAACGCCCTTACTACAACATTCCATTTTAATCAATTCCATTCATCCATCAAGTATTTTTATTTAGTTTATATTCATTAATGTGAAGTTCGAGCTAAATCCTGTTGTGTGAATATCTCAGTGAGAGACTTAGTGTAAAAAGATATCCCACTTTCCAACATTAATCCAAAGATGACTGTAGTATTATTTATCACATTCCTTGACTTCACAGGCCAAATCTCAGTTGTACTAATTGCTGTCAAAAGGTATCACACTTTCCAAGATGAATCTAAAAATGGCCGCCGTTCACAAAGTTATGCTCAAAACCGGAATTTTCCCTAACTTCACAGTAGTGAATACAAACTAAGTAAAATAACTTTGTAGGTTTTTCCTCAGCAAATTACATGACTTCTCAGGCAAAATCTTTGTTGTACTCACTTGCTGTCAAAAGATATCACACTCTCCAACATCAATCCAAAAATGACTGTCACTGTAAAGTCATGCTCACCCTGCTGAAAAATAAATGTGCTAAGTGTATTAAAATTTAGCATACTTTTGGGTATTTGGTTAGTGTGTTTATGATTAGTTACCTTGAAGCATGCTATTTTGGAACAACTAATTTTGTACTAAATATATTTAATTGTAATTTAATTGTGGAAAAGCTCAACTTGAAGTATACTTAAATATACAACTTTAAGTATATTTAGTATAGTTTAAGTATATGAGTTTATATGTACTAATATGGGCTTAATTAGTCAAGTTAAAGTATACTTTGATTGTATTATAACTACATTAAAAATAATTTGTTAGTGTCTTAAAAATATATAAGCTGTATACTTTTAATATATTCTTAGTACGGTAATAATATCCTTATTTATACTGTTGGCTTATTCCAATTAGTAAAAAAGTATACTTTGCAGTTAATAGTCAATATACTTTATCATTACATTGCTCTACTACTTTCTACCTTGCACATTCTTGCAAATGTATTATCAGTATACTAAAGGCTGAAAGACTTGTGGGACTACTTCCATTACAAATAATACAACAACTTGTACCATCTCAGAATATATAAACATTTACATATATAACAATTTTCATTATAAAACTTACAACACACTTTCAAATTCTTTGTAGAAATAGGTCCATTTCAGGCAGCAGACCCGAACATTACACATAAACTTTAAAGAACACTGAATACTGAACAATGAAAAACAACATTCCTTTTTATTACAACCCTAACCCCTCACACCATACAGAAACACGTACACCACATGTTCCTTTTTTTTTGGCTGAACTGCTCATCGTAACATTTTCGTCTGATGGCCGTGCGCACATCAGAGACACTTGTCTGCAGAAATTCCAGAAGAACAGCATCTGTTAACCAAACAGACAAGAGATACTGTAAGTCACACAGCATATTCATAGTATTTTTTAACAGTACATCAGGAAAGTCTGAGAAATTGTATCAGTATGACGTACCAATTGCTACCAGTACATAATCCAACATGTATTTGATAATAACTGGTTGTCTGTTTCCCTGCAATATAGCTGCTATAGAAATCAAAGACGCTTTTAAATAGACTGCATATAACTCAAGACAATTACATACCTGTAATAGCCGGCACTTTGGGAACATCAAGCTGTGTTTTTGGCGGTCCCCCCTCCAAGACTTTCCAGTTAGGGTGGAGTGTGCGAGGCCCTGCTTTGTGAATCCCAGCCAGCTCCTGGGAAAAAATGGTCATGCCAGATCTATTCAGCCGCAGGAAGTCCCTCTTTGAAACTGTCACTGTGCTGCCTGCCAAAGGGAGCTGCATATGGGAGAGAAAGAGGAAAAATTAGACAGATTATCTCTACGAGGAATGACCAACAATGTGCTTAATTCAATCTTTACTTGGAAACACTACTAGTACTTTTTTGCTGCTGACAAACTTCTGCTCCAGTCTAAAACATAATGTAAATGGGAATTTTAAACATTGTAGTTTATGCATTTGCTTTCAAAGTATTCATCATTAATACAGTGCTATTGAGAGGAAATATGAATATTTACTTTACAAGTCAATTAAAAGTGTGCGCCCCTAAAATTTTAAGATAGTGGCCACTGTGCTCTTGGTAAAAAAAGTTAGGCTGGAGCCCTGTAAACCACTAGGGAATGCCATCATCAGAGGTGTTGAGGTTCCAAATGACTGCAAGATAATTCATATGGCTGATTTGTGAAACATGTAACCTGTTAAATCCCATCACTATACTGGTGACCTAATTACCAACACAGGATGATGCTGCCAAAGACAAAAGGTCCAAAATGCAAATATAGAATACTTTGTGAATGTACCATCAAGTAATGAATACATACGTCCATCCCTCAATTATAACATACCATTTCAATTTCACTGTCCACAGAAGATTACATTACAGATGAAGGGGTCCCCCAAATGAGGACATCATTTTTTGGGGTCCTACAGAAAGCTTTGTGTAATCAGGTTGACATTTTAGATGTTTTATGATTTATTCTTCCATTAATTATCTCATCCCCCAGCTATATCTTATTTGGTGTCTCTTTATGTAAAAATGCATTAACAGTAGTTGAATCTATAGGCCTACCTCTGGCAGCTACAACAACAAAATGCTGCCACATCGTGATGTTTGAGTATTATTCATTTAATGTTTTCATTTTTAACAATATATCAGTCAGAGGGAGTAAATCTGTACATTTACTTTGATAGTTAAGCAACATTTTACTGCAAATAATTATGCACTTTAACTTGAGTGGGTTTTGTCATGCATGGTTTGTAATGGAGTATTTTAGCATTGCTTTATTGTTTTCTACTTAGGTAAATTATTTGAATTTTGTCAAGACCTCTACCATATAAGATAGTATCTGTGTGTGGCGTTAGCCAAACTATTGGAACAGCTTTTGCACTGGCATTAAGGACTATTGCGTGCACTCACCTGCACGGCCGTTTTAGGCCTCACTGCGTCAGTCTCACACATCTGCTTTCCCCCTTGGCCCATACATCCTTACTGAGAAGGAACAAATTCCTCCTCGAAAAGAGTTCTTTGTAAGTGTCTGATATAATGAGAAGAGTACGAAAAATTAAGTTTAGCCAAGACATTCTTCCTAACAACAACAAAATTCAACAGTTAGAGCTGCAAGCTAGCTGAAATAGTTGGGGAAATAATAGTTATTCCAAATAACAGGACCTTAGCAGCCACCGTCCTCTTTGGTTCTTTTCTCGTAGGCCACTTTATTTCAGTCCAGTTCATGTCGTCATAAAGGTACGGCTGGGATACCACTTGGGTGAACTGGTAGCTACCAAGTATGAGCGACGTACTCTCCACAAGTATTTTATCAAATAAAAAGCAGACAGCCAATTGGAATTACCTTGTTTCCTCCTAACCGTACAGTCTATCTTAACCTGCCAACCTGCTGTCACGCGAGTGACCCCCTCAAGCACGTCCGCAGCTCTGGTTGCCTGAAAGGGAAAAACTAAATTGATGAACTTCATTGGTCAGAGACTCTGTGCCGTTCTATAAAAAAAAAAAAAAAAGAATTGTAGATACTTTTTATACAGTCTGTTATAATACAGTTACTATACCAAATAATCATGCCAGCAAAACGGAAACTAAAGAGACATTGGAATCATATTTTTTTAAATTAATTTTTGCAATGCACACTCTTCATCAGGAAACCATCAAAGTGAGACATGTGGATATGGCAGAACAAGCTCTGCCAAAGTTTGTGCTTAACTTTGAGAACCTTTATGGTACTGCAAATGCTTATTTTAATGTGCATCTATTAATGCACATGGCAGCAAGCGTGCACAATTGTGGACCACTATGGGCAACATCCACGTTTCCATTTGAACAATTTAAAGGTACTTTGCTTAGGTTTTTCAGTGGAACAACACGTGCCAACACAAATAGTGAATAGATTTCTTCGGTGGAGGGATCTCTCCACAAAAGCAGGACTACAATAAATGCAAATGACGGCATAAAGGCATTATTTGACAAACTTCAGAGTACCTCTAGCTTAAGAAAGAAATCAAAGGAGTTTCAACATAATGTCAGAGGTTTTGGCTGCCTGAAGAAAGGTAGCACATCTGTGAGGATGGCTATTGAAAGTTTCATAGGAGTGACAGTTCATTTAGGTTTATTTTTTTATGATCGTTTCATTTGTAGCAGTATGGTCTATCATTCATATGACAACACAACTCTTAAAAAGATAAATAATTCAGTTGTACAGTTAGATGATGGAACATTGTGTGACGGTATGACCCTGGTGGCCTTTACATCTGATGATGGGGCCTCATCCACATCCACAAACGTCTGTATTTGAGTAAAAGAGCCTGCCAAGAGTGGAGGAAAGGTTTGTAGAGATGCTCAGTTAAACATATCGTCCACATTTATAAATGCGGTGCCTGACACCCATAATGTATTTGCTGTGCATCCCCAATCACTCAAACGTAAATGTGTAATGGTCCATGGACAAAATGTGTGTCATTCCACTTCCAAACAATGTTGAAAGAGACTAAAATTCTTGGGGAGAAACTACTTTACGGACATCAATGCCAAACGACCTCCACATATCAGCCCTATACACATGAAGGGCTGTCAGCGACTTTTTGATCTGTGTACTCTCCAATTCAGAATCAGAATCAGAAATACTTTAATAATCCCAGAGGGAAATTATTTTGATAATAATTACAAATTTGGCCAGTATTAACTGTTCTGTTGTGATGTAGGTGATGCTGTTTGTTATATCAGAATGTAGCACTGGACCAACTTTAAACCACTTGCAGAACGCTCACATTTTTTGTGCACCTGTACTTTTGAAGTGAACATTTAGTGTTTTGTTTCATGTGGTTTTGTGTGTTTGTATCATTTTTTTCCCCCAAACTTGTTAAACATTACATAACAACTGCAATAATTGCTATCTGTGTACTTTACACACAGCACAAAATTGCATAAATGGGTTTAAGTGCATTTTCCGCAGGACTATTGAACACTTTCCAAAAGAATTACCTGAAGTACAAGCGTAAATAACTTCACTTCATAATTCAAATGTAACTAAAATGCACTCAAACTTAATAGTACAGTGTCGATATTAAAATGTGTACTTTTAAAATATGCTTTCAGTGTACTGTTAGATTTGGTTCTTTAGTTGGAAGCCTGAGAATAAACCAGAGTAGATCAAGAGTACAAATATGACATTTATTGGGCACAAGCAAAGTATATCCAGTATCCCCCTTTTGAGGTACCGTATTTTCCCAACCATAGACTTTTCCTGAACTAATTAGTCTCTTGAAAGGCATTTGAAATATAAAGTGAACGTCTGGTGGTTTTCCATATCGCTCTCATCACTGTCGTCCTGGGGTGAAGCTGGGCCTGCAGTTGTGGTGCCCCCTTCACACTGGCCTCCGGGGTCGCCATCGTCCCAGAGTCACCTCAGAGAAGGAGTTAGTCCTCCTGTTGACTGCATCCACCGGAAAAGTAATGTGAGAGTCCTCACTATCTGAAAGAAGCAGCGCGTTGTCCAGTGACAATTTCTCCTGTGCACTGTAAATGGCACCCTGTTAACTCATTGACTGCCAGCCATTTTCAGAACAGAGAATCCCACACTGCCAGAGTTTGAGCATTTTGACTGATTTTTCAAGAGCCACAGAATAGTTTGTGCTATGATTATGTAAACACCGAACACACCAAAAGAAAGAGTAGACTCTCTTCTTTCATCAGGAAAAAAAATTTCTTTCTACCTTATTCCGTTCTTTCTCGACTTGCGTCTCACCGGCGCCATTTTTCGCATAGCGAACCATTGCGTTTTTTTTTGCCTACAATCTATGCTCATCTCCCATCAAAAGTGGCAACGCCACCTAGAGGGTCAATTTGTTAGTACATACTCTGTCTAGAAGCCGATATTTACGGAAAATCTTTAGCCGATCGTCCCCCAAGCCACTCGCGTTGAAAAACATAAAAGACGTCTATAGACATCTTTGGCAGTCAACGGTTGTATTTGAATTGACGTCTATAGACGTCTCTGGCAGCCAATGAGTTAACCAGTCTTTCGTGGGGACAGCAGCTGTCCAGATGGGGTGCAGAACAGGATGCAGATGACATGTGATGTCAGGTGGATGGCACACCTGTAATGTTGGCAAGTGTGCAAGTATGCAAATGTCCATTGCATTATTTGACATATGTGTATGCCATGATCTTTACCCTTATATGTAAGCAGTATGTGAAAGCTGTTCTTCATTGCATTACCAGCCGCAGGCATTCCATGACTTCACAACCAAAATCTCACTTGCACTCACTTTCAGTCAAAAGATAT